CCTATCTTGGGCGCTGCACTCACATGCACACACACACACACACACACACACACACACACACACACACACAATTCATTTAAAAATAAATAATAAAATAAACAAAAGTAATATATATCTTAGATGGCTCAGGTTGGCTCCCAGAAAGCAGGCTTTGGGATAGAGTTGAGGCTGTGGGTGTTTTCTAAGCAATATCTTTAGGGTGAGCCCTTGGGAAGCAGGCAGGACTATGATGTGGCCAGTGACAGCTAGCCAGTCCTTAGGGAGTTCTGGAACTGTCCAAAAATAAATAATAAAATAAACAAAAGTAATATATATCTTAGATGGCTCAGGTTGGCTCCCAGAAAGCAGGCTTTGGGATAGAGTTGAGGCTGTGGGTGTTTTCTAAGCAATATCTTTAGGGTGAGCCCTTGGGAAGCAGGCAGGACTATGATGTGGCCAGTGACAGCTAGCCAGTCCTTAGGGAGTTCTGGAACTGTCCTGAGCTGGGTTGAGATGTTTAGTTCTTACAGATGACTCACAGTGGGTCATTAGCTATCAGCTGCCTCTGGAGAACATGACCTCAACAGAGATGACCCCTGTGTCCTTGACAGCAGCTCCCCAGGAGCCAGGATGCAAGCCTTCCACGGGAGAGAGAACTGGACAGCATGTCCCAGAGGTCACCACAGCCCCCAATTACTCCAGCCACTTGACACTTCTGCTAAAACACCTGAACATTGCATTCCTTTTGAATTCTCTCAGAAACAAATCTGGTTATAATGTGAACAGTTGGTTCACCATGTCAGACATGGAACATCTCAGCTTAATACCAAGTTCATTTCCTACTTAGCTATATAGGGTCACACTTAAAAATGAGTACACTTGGGGCGGGAGAAATTGCTCAGTGGTTAAGAGCACTGCCTGCTCTTGCAGAGGACCTGAGTTCGTTACTAGCTGGGGGCTAACAACCATCCATATCTCCAGTTCCAGGGGATCTTCTGATCTCCATGGGCATTGCTTGACATTAGTGCACTTACATACATGCAGGCAATACACTCTTACACATAAAATAAAAATTTAAAAATAATGAATGCACTTTGTGCTTTCTGACTTTTGCTAATATTTTTACCTCAAGCTTTTTATAAAGAATAGTTCTCAGCAGATGAGCTAAATAAATAACATACATAATTTTGCTTTCACATGTTTTTAAATATTTTATTATTTTATTTTATATGTGGGTGCTGGAAACTGAATCCAGAGCCTCTGCAAGAACAGCTAGTGCTCGTAACCACTGAGGCATCTCTCCAGCCCCTGCTCTGTCATCAGTATCCAACTTATCCTCAGCTGCTGGGTGATTAGTGAGCTGAGAAGGGTCCCCCAATACCGCTGTCTGTCCAGGTGAAGGTCATAGTTCTGGAAGACAATGATCCCTTTGCCCAGTATCACTACCTGGTGACAGTCTACACTGGACACCGACAAGGGGCCGCCACATCATCAAAGGTATTCAAGAACATTAGAATACTTGTTGGTTGGTGTCTCACCCAGGGACGTGCTGGCTCTGCCACTGAGGACTGACTTTGGCTCCATGGGTTTGTGTCACTGGGTATTACCCCTCCCTTTTGATTTCATATTTTGAAGGAAAGAACCTTCTTTAATTAAAAAAATTATTACATTTATTTATTCATTTGTGTGTGTGTACATGACCATTCCATGGCATGACTGTGGAGGTCAGAGGATGACTTTGTCAATTCTCTCCTTCCATCATGTGGGTTCCTGGGATTGAACTCGGGTCATCAGGCTTGGCAGCAAGTGCCTTTACCTGCTGAGCCATCTTGCCATCCCTTTAAATTTTGGGGTTAGCATACAAAGCAATGGTTTTGTTGTGGCATTCTTACACATATGTGTCATCATACTTGGTTCTTAATCACCCTCTCCCTGCTGTCCTCCCCGATACCCTGCCTGGCTCCCGCTGGTTCCCCCACCCTGGACTTTTCCTTTCTGCTCTCATAGCACATGTCTTCCCTTACCTTCTCTCTCCCCACCCCCTCTCAAGATTGCTTCCTCCCGTCAATGTCCCCTTTCCATTTTCATCACACACAGAGATACATAGACGCACAGACGCACAGATGCGCATGCACACATGCACACACACATGCACACACGCAAACATGGATACACAGACACATAGACACAGACACACATATATACAAACACACACAAGCACAAATAGGCACACACACAGATATATACATACAAACATACACACATATACATATATAGAAATATACAGATACATAAAGATACACACAGACACACATTTAAATCTATATTTCATATGAGTGATAACGCACAGTATTTGTCTTCCCCAGTCTGACTTATTCCACTTAACATAATGATCTCCATTCCTGAAAATGTCATGATTCATTTTTATACATGGCTAAAAACGTCCCATGGTGCCTGTGCATGCCATTTCTTTACCAGTTCATCTCTTGCACGGGTTCCATAACCTGACTGTTATGAGTAGTGCTTGGACAAGTGGATGTGCAGGTATCTCTGTTGGATGCTGAAAAAAGAGTCATGAATTAAAAAATCTTTTTTGGAGACAAGGTCTCATTATGTAGCCTGGAACTCTCTATGTGGACCAGGCTGATCTCAAATTCACAGAGATCTGCCTGACTGTGTCTCCAGAGTGCTGGGATTAAAGGTGTGCCCTCCCATGCTTGGCCCTTTTTTGAAGTGGGCCTGGCATTGAGCTTGTAAATAAGGTAGAGGCGCCGGCTCTGCACAGGCTGGCTGGAGGGACGCAGGCACTGAAATCCTCGCGTTTAGCTGACGTGCACACAGCCTGGCTCCATAATGTCTTAGCCTCCTCCATCAAGCCAGGCTCAAGCCTTTTCTCATCACAGCATTGACCCTTGTAGCAGCCTCCAAGGTCCCTTACTGAATGAAGCTGATGGGCCCAAGTGACACAGTCTGAGAGTCATCATCCAAATCTGTACACAGTCCTGGATAGAATGACATTGTTTTAGAAATGAAATCAAACTTCCTAAAAGTAGCGTTTGTTTGTTTTAGTTTGGGTTTTTTTTTTTTTTTTTTTTTTTTTTTTTTTTGGTTTTTTTTTTTTTTTTTCTGAGACGGGGTTTCCTTGTAATCCCAGCTGGCTTGGACCTTGCTATGAAGACCAGGCTGGCCTTGAACTCTCAGAGATCCACTTGCCTCTGCCTCCCAAGTGCTGGGATTAAAGGCATATACCACATGCCTGGCCTGGTAGTACATTTAATTAGCCTGGTCTGAATAGCAAGTTCCAGGTCAGCTGAGCTGCATTATAAGATCCTTTCTCAAAAAAATAAGTAAATAAAATTAAAAATTTTTTATATGTTTATTTTTAAGATTTAAAACAAGGGGCTGGAGAGATGGTTCAGAGGTTAGGAGCACTTCTAGAGGACCTGGGTTCTTCCAGTACCCACATGCAGCAAACAACTGTCTGTAACTCTAGTTCCAGGGGACCCACCACCCTCTTCTGGTCTCCACAGGCACTGCATGCACATGGTACACTTACATACATACAGGCAAAACAGTCATAGGTGTAAAATACATTTTTTAAAATTAAAAAAAGATTTAATAAAATTTTTTTGAGACAGAGTCTCTACCATAGGCTGGTGCCTAACTCCCTGTAGGATAACCTTGAATTCTAATCCCTTTGCCTTTATCCCAAAAGTGCTAGAATTGTAGGCGTCTGCCACCACACCTGGTTTATACAGTACTGGGGGTTAAACCTAGGTTTGCATGCTGGGCAAACACTCCAACCAAGCTACAACCCCAGCCCTTTAAAATTGTTCTTTCATTATTATTTATTCTTATTTTATGTAATGAGTGCTTTGTGTGTATGTATGTAAGTGTACCATGTGCATGCAATGCCCTCGGAGGCCAGAAGAGGATATCAGAGCCCCTGGAACTGGAGTTATAGATGGTTGTTATCTGCCATGTAGGTGCTGGAAACCAAATCTGGGCCCTCTGTAAGAGCAGCCAGTGCCCTTAACCAGTGAGCCATCCCTCCAGCTCCCTTTAAATATTTTTTTTTAAATATTTTATCACTTTTATTTTATGTGTATGAGTATCTTGCCTGCATGTATGTAAGTACACCTGTGTCATGCAGTGTCCTCAGAGGACAGAAGAGGCCATCAGATCCCCTGGAACTGGAGTTATAGACAGTTGTTAGCTGCAATGTGGGTGCTGGGATTCGAACTCGGGTCTTCTCTCCAGCCCTGCCTTTAAATATCTTTATAACGAAGCCTGTTGTGGTGGCACACACCTTTAATCCCAGCACTTGGGAGGCAGAGGCAGGCAGATCTCTGTGAGTTCAAGGCCAGCCTGGTCTACATAGCGAGTGCCAGGCCAGCTGGGGCTACAGGGAGACCCTGTCTCAAAAAGACCAAAAAATTTTTTTATAATGAATTATTTTGGTTAGTGTACAAAATAATGGGTTTCCTTAGTACATTTGCATAGATGTGCATAGATACATATACATGTGTACAGGTCATTGTACCTTGCTCACACTTGCTACTCTACTTGCCAGGTGTTAGGTCTAGACCAGCTGTCTCAGAGAACCACACTTGGTAACTGTCTTTGGTGTCAATCGTGAACCCCTCTCCTCTATCCATGCAGCCACTCCCACTGGGCATGAAGAGTCAGCTTTGACAGGGACGAATGAAAGCCTTCTGGTTCAGTGCAAGTAATTTTGTTGGTAATGATCCCATGAAATACCAATAGGAGATAGGACGCCAAGTAGGGAAGGACCACAGCCAGTAAAAGTGCATAATGGAGCCAGTCACGTCCATGGGCATGGACTGATCCTCAGAAACAGTAAGATACGTGTGCCCCAAAGCTGGAGGAGGAGCTGTGTGCGTGCATACCAGTTCCCACTAGTCATGGGCTGACACCACCACAAAGGGCCGTTCCTTCCCTTGCCCCTCTGGCCCTATGCTCTGTAGTCAAAGGAAGTCCCTGCAGGGAGCGCTGCAGATGCTGTCTCTCCAGCCCTCGGTAGTATTGTTTATGTAGTAAACATGGTCATCTGAATGGTGATTCATAACTGGCCATTTGTGGCTCCTCTTCCATGCCCCAGATGGGTCTCAGCACACTGGAAATCCATCCTTTCCTGTTGTGTCTCCTTCCATACCAGTGTGCTAACACATATGAGCAGCTACTAATATGTACACACACATACACATAAAATATCGTGTGTGGCCAGGCGTGGTGGCGCACGCCTTTAATCCCAGCACTCGGGAGGCAGAGACAGGCGGATCTCTGTGAGTTCGAGGCCAGCCTGGTCTCCATAGTGAATCCAGGCCAGCTGGGGCTACAGGGAGACCCTGTCTCAAAAAGACAAA